TAGGTATTAGAAATAATATCTATGGTATGTACAATCATGTGTGATAAATCTTGTAAATCAATGCATATTTTTCATTTAATTTCGGATTAGGAATAGGATCGGGTCGTGTTAAAATAGATTTAATATATCTTGGAAAAGAATATTGTATAAAAGTGGATTATCGATTGTCTTAAATACATGAATTTACTAAATTATGAATTAGGAGTTGAATTAAATGCAATAGGGGATTCATGATTCCAATACATTCATAAATTAGATAAATATTTTATTTGTTTTCTTAGTTTAAAATTAGCATAGAAAATATACAAATCACAATACTTTTGATTTTATATTACTTCGAATTTAATAAAAGCTATTGAACTAGATATTAGAATTTCTCATGGAAACGATACTCTTAACTCACAAATCTTATTACTTGTAAAACGATCACGTACGCTTGCGGGTTTCACACGAACAATAATATAACTCCAGCCTGCAAACAGCATCTTAACAATGTCATTATGTACCTTTGGCTTATATTCTATAGAATAAATACTTCATTTATGAACTGACCTACATGACTTCGATTGATTATGTCAGATACTTGACAACATTCATGTGTAAATAGTACCGAATCCCTCTTTTCCAAGAATTCGACTTTGACTAAATTTGTATGTTGCATTAGGGATATCAATTGAGCTCATCGGCTTGGACCGCCTGTGGCTCGACCCGAATGCCCGAGCTGGCCCTGTGGCTCGTTAACTCGAGCTCAGACCTTAAAAATATAGAAATAAGGCGACTGCCTTATTTCAAGGCAGTGCTTGCTGCCCAGCTGCCTTAAGACCGTATTATAAAAAATTAAAAAAAAAAAAGAGAAAAAGCCAACCTGGCTCGAACTCGGCTTGCTAAGGCCCGAACCGAAAGCTTAGGCAACGCCTTGTTTTTTGGCCGAAGTTTTGCTCAACTCAACTCAGGCTTGAAAAAGGCCAATTTGATTTTACGCGAGCCGACTCGACTCGTTGACATCACTATGTTACGTTCTTCAACTCTTCAACATGAAGAGTTTGTGAAGTGTACTAACTACTTATCATGGAAGCTATGTACAATCCTTGAACCATGTGCACTTACATATGCCTCCATAGTACATGAAATCTGGGCCACACGATATCGTCCCTACCTCCATTGTAGAAGATATCTGGGCCGCCAATAATGTGGACATTTCTACAAAAGGGAAACTAAGACTTTATGGATGTCGAACATTTCTTGTTAAATTATAAATAGTAGACATTTTTAATTTTTCACCAACTAAAAAGAATTTCTATCAACTTTCACCTTAAAAGAATTACTTTTAAGTAAAATCGCTCATAAGTTAAAATGTTACTTTAAAAAAAAAATCTTCCATAAGTAAAAAATTCACTTATAAGATAAAAATTTGTTGATAAGTAAAAAACTTATAAGTAAAAAATGACTTGATTTAAGTAGTAAAAAGTTCATGTATTAGTAAAAAAATCACTTGTAAATTAAAAAATATGAATTATCTAAAAGTAAAAAAATTTACTCTTTAAGTACAAAAAATACTTATAAATAAAACTATATTTTACTTATATATCAATATTTAAACCTTTAGCCCCCGTTTGCCACCGATTGTGTGGCAATTTTTATTTTTGGAATAGTATTTTTTGGAGAATGTGTGGTTGAAAAAGATGTAAAAAATTTCGATTTATGTGTAATATTATTTTATGAAAGATTGTGTAATTTAAAAAAAAATGGGAGAGAGAAAAATAAGTTTTTGAGAAAATGGGAGCCAAACGATGACTTACTATAGTGTAGCTGCAAAAGCCTTGTTAGAAGGATACACCGTAATCCACTTTAATACAATCCTCTAATCATATTCTCCCTAATCTATCTTTTATACTTCTATCTATCTTTTAGACTTCTATCTCCCCTAATCCAATAGGTGTACCAAACGCACCTTTAGTGCAATTAAAAAGTAAAGAAAAGAAAAGTGCGCACCCAAAGGGTAGTGACTGCAGGTTCTCCGGTCAAAAAAAAATGGTATAAGGAAAAGACAAATATGGTGTCAATATAACTATCCGTAAGTGTATTAATAAAAGTTACTTATGTTAGTTATATGTATGTATAAAATACATAAAATATTTTATTTTCAGCTGGATGCTTATTCCTGCTTATAAGTAGTTTAGTACATATTTGGTTAAGCTTTAAATATTTGCCATAAGTAATAACAAAGCTAAAGCTACTTACAAGTTAACTTTTTCAAAAAGGGGATTAGGGAAATTGCTTATAGCTACATAATCAGAAAAATACTGAGAGATTAGCTTCTATGAGCCCTAAAAGAGGATCAAATTCATCGATGTAACTTACAACATTACTTACTGTTGAATTTCCTTATGCTGTGGATGTTATCTTTTTATTGATTGTTTCTATCTATATGCTTACTTTTGGTTTTAGTTGAATTTTGTGAAAGTAATTATTTCTCGCTCCATCTGTTGATCCCAAAGGCGATGTAAGATTGAGATTTAATGGCAATAATGAAATATTCAAGATTGCGCCATGAAAATAAGATTAAAGTAAAGTAGAAAAAGAGAAACTAAGTAGAGGAACAATAAATTTTATTAAACCCGACAATGTGGAGAGAATTACAACAATACAGGAATTTGACTTTTGTAAAACTAACAAAGAAGCCTCTAATTTATAGGTCACGTCCATAAACTTAATGGAGTCCTAAAAGGTAAGAAAATATACTAGAATTAGATTAAACCACGTAAAAGGAAAAAATCTTGGATGTAATTTGATTTCTTTCCAAATTCAAGCCAAATGTGATCTTCCAAGATTTCAACCCAATTTTGAGGCATTAAACCTAACAATCTCTACCTTGACTCAAAATTTCAGTGCAACGAACGAAACTCCAAAATTTCAAATTCGTCTACGCCGAAATGAACTGACCAATCTCCTCAACACAGTAACCAAAATCTCCATCACCAAACCATCGTCCTCTGCACGACGTCCACAAGCGACACTTGAACCCAAATCGTGGGTTCCTAAAATTTCACCAAGAAATTATTGTTGACCAAACAGGGTTGAAGTTCACCCTGTAGCAGAAACCATACCACATGCTGGATCAGAAGGCCCCTTGCTAGAATTGTCACATTCAACGTCCCCTAAAGCATTCCAGACATTAGTGACACCACCGTACCTACGCTCCATGAGTCCAACCAAAGCAACTGAACACAGTGTATCTGCTGAAATTGGTGGCAAAGCGAAATCACCAACGCTTTCCTTAGCAGTGTTCTTAACCAACTCAGAGCTCGCCACAGGAGGTACTATACCAAACTGAACTTCCTCCATGATACTAAACTTGTCCAAATGTCTCTTAATTGATTTTGCGTTCCCCTGCAAGATGTACAATTAAGACATCTTCCGCCCCTTCAATACAACCTGAACATCCGTTCGGACCTTTGAGACTCTATCTCTACCAGAGAATTTATACCATTTTGCAACCAGGGCACTCAGTGATATGAGATTCTTTGTAAAGTCTGGAACATGGCTAACCTGATAAAGTGTCCTCACTATCCCATCTTGTAGTCTCAATCTAACCTGACCGATTCCTACAACCCGACAAGATTTGTTGTTTCCCATGACAACTCCACATTGCTTCACCCTCTCATATGTCTGAAACAAACCCTATTGGGACACATATGAAACAAATATGCAGAATCCAGAATCCACTCTCCAAGTTTGGATTCCTCGACAGATACAGCCAACATTATATCTCCATCATCCGAAAAATTCGCAACAATGTTAGTCTCGTTACTTGATTGCCCCACATGATTTGCATGTAAATCACCTTTACCCTGCAACTTGTCCCAATCTTTCTTAATGTGTCCTTTCCTCTTGCAGCAATACCAATACATATTGCTGTACCTCACCTTCGATCTACCCCTCCGTCGATCACCATGAGTAACCAGAGCATCTCCATCCCTAGATGTAGGATCTCCAACCAACAGCTCCATCTTCTCCTTTGAGAACAGAGCATCATATACCTTCTCAATGGTCAGCGTGTCACGACTATACAATATAGTATCACGAAACGACGAAAAAGAACTGGGTAGCGAACACAACAGGATCAAGGTCAGATCCTCTTCATCATATTTTACCTCCAACGTCTTCAAATCTGCAATAATCTCCTTGAACACAGCAAGATGGTCTTGTAGTAACCCTCCTTCTGTCATGCGATGGGACACCACTTCTGCTTTAGAGTCAGTCTGCTCGTCAGACTCTTTGTCATGCACAACTGCTCCAACTTGAGCCACAAAGCAGCCGCCATTTCCTCCTTCAAGACATCATGCAGAATATTGTTGGATAAGTGAAGATGAATCTGTGTTAGAGCCTTTCGATCCCTCCGTTGTTTCTCCCCCATAGACAAATTTGCTGACATCCTCTCAAAATCCAGCAAAATATCGTCAAGATCCATCTGTGTCAACACAACCCTCACTTTTACTTGCCACAGCGAAAATCTTGTATTGCGATCCAGCAGCAGAATTTCATACTTCAACGAATTCATCCTTGAAAAATCTCAACCAAATCACGAAGAACCTGCAATCGTGCTCTGATACCACTTGTTGATCACAAAGGCGGTGTAAGATTGAAATTTATTGGCAATAATGAAATATTCAAGATCGCACCATGAAAATAAGATTAAAGTAAAGCAGAAAAAGAGAAACTAAACGGAGGAACAATGAATTTTATTAAATCCAACAATATAGAGAGAGAATTACAATGACACGACAATTTAGCTTTTGTAAAACTGATAAAGGAGTCTCTAATTTATAGGCCACGTCCATAAACTTAATGGAGTCCTAAAAGGTAAGAAAAAATACTAGAATTAGGTTAAATCGCGTAAAAGGAAAAAATCTTGGATGTAATTTGATTTCTTTCCAAATTCAAGCCAAACGTGATATTCCAAGATTTCAACCCAATTTTGAGGTATTAAACCTAACACCTTCCAAAGAACATATGCTGTCATACAGAAATTGTAACAAAGAAATGCATTAGAAATGACAAGAAGAAAGACAATGCTATTAACAACGGTTTCTGTAGAAGATTTTGAAATTTGATCATGATATATTTCAATACATGTAGTTGAACGTGACGGCTTCTTTATTATATGAAGGAAAATTCTAACTTTAGAATTCAAGTGGAGCTAGTTTGTCCACCATCACATTTAGTCGTTCTCTCAATTTCATTGGTGCTATTGGAGCTTGGACTTACGGAATAATAATTGTCCTGAAACCTCTCTTCAAGAACCAAATGCTCTCTTGTCCTCCTCAGCTGTTCAAGTTCTGATGCCACTTCTTTCATGCTTGGTCTCTTCCGTGCATTTAGCTTTAGGCATCTCTTGGCGAGCTTGGAAACTGCAATAATATCCTCTTTATGACCTTCATTTGCCACTAGCTTCTCTAGAATCCCATACAAACGGTTCTCTTTCAGTGCAAATCGAAAGCGTATTGCTAGAGCTTCATTACTGTTTTTGGAAGAGATGGCTTTTTGACCTGTTAGGAGCTCAGCAAGAACTACCCCAAATGCATAAACATCACTCTTATCATTTAGTTGCCCTGACTGGAAGTATTCAGGATCTAGGTAACCAAATGTGCCCCCAATGAGTGTTGTCAAGTGAGTCTTATCAATGGATACTGACCTTGAGAGTCCAAAATCGGACACTACAGCCCGATAATTCTCATCCAACAATATGTTGTTTGACTTTATGTCTCTGTGAAAAATAGCTGTTGAAGCACATGAATGCAAGTAAGCCAGGGCTCCTGCAATTTCTGCAGCGATACGTAGACGATTGTCCCAAGAAATTATCGAGACGTTATGCTCATCGTGAAGATGGTGAGAGAGGGTTCCGTTGGGCACATATTCATATACTAATAATGGAACTTCTGCCTCCAAACAACAACCTAACAGTTTCACTATCTGCCTATGGTTTATATGGGACAGAATGAAAACTTCATTTATGAACTGACTGACTTGACTCTCATCAATGATATTGGACCTTTTTACAGCCACTATGCTGCCATCTGACAGCATTCCTTTGTAGACAGTACCAACTCCTCCTTTACCAATAATACGATATTTGTTGAATTTGTCTGTTGCCTTCCCCAACTCTTCGATCACGAAGAGCTTTGTTTCAGGAAATACATTTCCTGTACTCGAAGAGATCTGTTGTTGAAGTAGTAAACCACCATTTCTCTTGAAGAGCTTCTGCTTAACTTTCCTTTCATTCATTTTATTAATTTTACAGAAGAGCCAGAGAATAACAGCTGCCAAAATTAGAAGGCCAGCAGCAAGGCCAACTCCTGTTTGTATGGCTAGTATTAGCAGATTTCTAAGATTGAATGAAGACAAAGAGTGGAAAAGGATATACCTAAGGGAATGAACAGTGCCAATATATGTCCTCGACTACGTCGGCAATAGTAGCTTCCTGGTGTGTTTATGCAGCGGCCTTTCTCATGGCAGCCATTGTGATTGGGCTTTAAACATTCGTCAATATCTGCAAAAGTGAAAACAAAGTGCAAGTTTAACTTATTGTGGTCTGGAAATTAAATGTTGTCATGGGATATAGAAGTAAATTTGTTATGAGTAGGCAGATTATTGTTTCTATTTACTCGTGACATATGACATATGACTTATGCTTTGTGAGGTTGCTTCCATTAATTTCTCACCCATTCACCATTTTTAATATTTTATGATCCATCCTAAGGTTATTAAAAAGAAACAAAGTCAAATATACAATTGAGTAGATTAAGTGATTAACCTTTTTCTCAATTCACTTCTTTCATTGCCTTATTCATTTATGACTGAAACAAAGTTTGGGCTTATGGAGAAGAAAAGAACGGATAAGTCTTGGAAGGAAGAGAAGAAATGTTACCTTCGCATCCCTTGGGGAGGTAAGGATTTCCTTGGTAACCTTGATTGCATATGCATCTGTATCCCCCACCCAGGCCCGGCCCTGGCCCAAGGCAAGTGAGGCCACTGCCTTGGGCCTCATCTTTTAGGGGGCCTCCAGCCCAACACTGCCTCTCTCTTAAAAAAAATAATAATAATATTTATTTAGGCACATGAAAGAGGCAAACGAACAGCCATTTCCAATTGCAGTCCAATCGCCTTCTCCACTCTCCAGACCTGAGAACACATTCCAATCCAGAATTTATCCCTAAAACCTACTCCAATCCGGAATTAATCTCCAAAAACCATTACTCTACTAGTCTACCACTGCAAAAGTTCCGACGAAATCCAGAGGACCAGAGGTTGAGCTGCTTCAGCACGTTCGCACATAGAGAGTTCGCACTTCACAAACTACTAAGGTCTCGCAAATTTGGAGGTTGGTTTCCATTTATTTTAGGAAACTGAAAACCCTTGATTCCTTGAAAATCTTTCCATGACTTTCGTTTTTATTGGGGTTTTAAGATTAAAATACCCAAAATCTTCTTCACATAAATAGAGCAAAGAAAAATCTTAACAAGAATTAAACAACTAATGCCATCACCTCGAAATCTCTAAGTTTCACTTTCTCAATTCCAAAATCATGAGCATATTACAGATTTACATATTGCAGTCGCCAGTCGGTGTCGGTATACCTGTGTTTGTGTATGTTATGATAAAAATTAAAATTTAAAAAGTACCTGACCGAGAATCAGAAATGGGTCTTTGCTTAATTTGAAGAACGGTATGTTGATCTGCAATTTTGCAACAAATTTGAAGTAAAAAAAAAAAAAAAGAAAAGAAGAATTGATGAGTGATGAATGCAAGCTTGGACTCCGCCACTACGGATTACAGAAACTAGACTTCAGTCTTTAGTCTTCTGGTTGCAATAATTTTAGGAATTTTTCAATAAGTATTATTATATTGAGTAGTAGATATAAGGGATGATATGTGGGGTCCAGGGTATTAAGAGATTTTGGGAAAAATATTAATATACATTTTTGTGTTTTAGGCCTGAAATGGTGATAAACGTGTCCACAGAAAAGTGTAATTTCATATTGACAACTCCTCCAAAGGATATAAAAAGTATGACAACATATGATAAGAATGCGATATTATTTCACATTTTTTCATTTTGTAAAATTGTTAGCCAAACAAAAACTGATTAAAATTTTCTATTCAATTTGAATAAATTGAAGCTTATTTCACATTTTTCCGTTTCGTAAAGTTATTGCATATTGAGATTAAGATCCAAAAATGCATTTTCTTTTTTAAAAGCTTATTCTATCCTTTTTTTTGGGTGTGTGATCTATTCTCTCTTTGTTTTGTTCATTTCTTGGTTGCAGCAGAATTGCTTGATAATCAGACTCTGCGTTTTCGACTGCAACCTCTACGGCCGCATTGTCTACTTCAATCACCACGCGACTACCACTACCACCAATTTCTGAATCCTTTCATTTTGGGGACTCATCAATCAGGTTTTATTGCTCTTTGTTTATTATTATGTTTACAAGAAAATTTGAATCTGGATGTGCCAAAAGGAAAAGGAAGGAAAAAGTTGAAAGGTTGATTAAATCTCAAGAGGGAGTACTTGATAAGTTTTTTAATTGTAGTAAACAAACACCTAATGAAGACGTAGTTACTAAAGAAGTATTTAATGAGAATGATAACAGAAATAATACAATTGAGGAAGAATATTGTGTGATGAATGAAGAGGTATCTCTTGACAGAGATAATGAACCATTTTGTGTCGAGGGGGCTCCATAATAATTAAACGCCTAGGGCCTCTAAATTCTCAGGGCCGGCCCTGCCCCCACCACCATCATTATCATAGCAATTACTATTCGGGCCGCAGCGATAGTCGTTTTTTGTCTCCGCGTTGCTGCAACTGGTGTTTCCAACTGTCCAGTTAAGGACTACAGGCACATAATAATTTTCATTACAAGCAGAGAAATTATGTCGATAATCAATTTGGACGTCCTTAGCTGCAAAAAAGAAATGGCCACATGGATGTGATAGCCAGGACTCTGTGAAGGTATTTATTCTATTAACCCACAAATTAAAAATTGAGATATCTTTCGGCAAACTTGACTGGCAGCAACCAAACCCCGAGCATATAAGTCTTGGAAGGGAGAGAAGAAATGTTACCTTCGCATCCCTTGGGGAGGTAAGGATTTCCTTGGTAACCTTGATTGCATATGCATCTGTATCCCCCACCACCATCATTATCATAGCAATTACTATTCGGGCCGCAGCGATAGTCGTTTTTTGTCTCCGCGTTGCTGCAACTGGTGTTTCCAACTGTCCAGTTAAGGACTACAGGCACATAATAATTTTCATTACAAGCAGAGAAATTATGTCGATAATCAATTTGGACGTCCTTAGCTGCAAAAAAGAAATGGCCACATGGATGTGATAGCCAGGACTCTGTGAAGGTATTTATTCTATTAACCCACAAATTAAAAATTGAGATATCTTTCGGCAAACTTGACTGGCAGCAACCAAACCCCGAGCAAGGTGAAGTGGACCTGACTATGTCAGTGCTGTTGCAGAGAGATCCACATCCGGTGAGGAACTCTTTAGTTGCATTATGAACAACATAGGCATACAAATCACATCCCACTACAACAAACATATTTTTTGTGTGGGACAAACTGAAACGTCTAAAATTAAATTCCTTAGTAGATTGTGCTCTCAAACTTTCTCCTGATGATCCATTGATGAAAGTCATATTTAGAACTGGGAAGTTGGAAACCCTTACATGGTGATCTGGTATGGAGATGTGATCTATCTTCGTTTTAGAGTCACCTAGAAAGGCAGAATTTGATGCATCATCGCATATAATTTGAAATTGCCTGTCAAGATAGCAGCCCTTCTTTATGCCAAATGGATAAGGAATTTCCACTTCTCCACATTTTTCTTGGCAACCATCCAATGCCAAGGAGACTGCAGCTGTTTTATGTGATTGGAAGAGTACTGAGATTATGCATACGATCATTAGATGAAGAAGCGGTCTGCACTTAAGTGCCATTTCTGTGTCTACTTTCACTTCCAGCTAGTATATATGATCCTACTTCTAATGAATGATGAATCTTATTATCATGCATGTATAAATAGTTAAATACTGGTGCCTTGCAGGCCATCTTTTTCGAAAGACTAATGGAAATTGAGGGGCCCGGTTGGTAGGAATCAATAATTGTGCATTTTGAATATTAATTGAGCACGTTTTTAACTTATTTAATTGTTAATGCATTTTTACTGGTAACTGCTAACTTTTTGTACTATTAGTCTCTCTTGGTTTAAAAACGTTATTTTGATGTAATTAACTGTCTACAGTATATTATGAATAAATCTAAAGTGAGTGCTGCTCCCACTTGGGGATTATCTCTTGTCCTGTTGGAAGACCTTTTCCTAGTGGCTAATACAATATTTATTGAGGCTATCATGAATATTAAAGTTAGCAATTTGGGAGGTAATCCTAGGTTCATCGATATTGGCTTCTAGAAATGTTAGGATAACATCTTTTGGGTCCTTTTGTTATGAAAGATTTACTTTTGGTGTGTTAGGATGCAAGTTATTATAAACTCGAATAAAAAACTAAAATTGGATTTGATTTTTGTACAAAAATCAAAGCATAGGAGTGGTGTAAGGTCTTTGTTTCAAATCCTGACCGTGTCCTTATTTTCCCATTTAAGATCATTATCTATAATGCATTGAAACAGACACGTGTCACATATGCCGACACACCATTTTTCAAAAAAGTTACTCACATGATATGTTGATTAAATTCTTAATTTATACAGTATAAATTTAATTTTACACTTGTTATTAATTTTTCTTATTGAAATCTTTTAAGTGTGAGTACATATTGTTTTATTTACTAAAAACTTTAGAAATACATAATATTTCTAATAAAAAAGAAAAATAATAGTAATAAAGTGTCTTAAGAAGTGTCGGTATTCGACACGTGATGAATACGGACACGCCACCCTAATTGAAGTTTCTGTACAAAAGATTTCATTATTATATGTTCACATATTACTGAAAAACACATACACATAGAATAGTTCATGATTTTTTTAATATATCATCTGTCTCTTCTTTTAAACGTATGGATTCGGCTGCACAGAGTAGAAGGTGGGGATCTTTTTTCCCCTTTTTCAAAAGGTCACTTGCAGGAGACGAAAACGTGAATGGTCCAAGGTAGCAGAGCATTATTCAATTAATTAATGGAAATAATAGAGATGTGACAATTGTTTAGAAATGCCTATAGAAATAAATGTTTTTTTATTTAAGGAAATGAATTTCTTGATTCAAATGGGATTAATTGACCATTTTCAGTGAATTCGTGAGACAGCTATGTTGATTGGGTTTAAAATAAATTATCTTTCTTTAAAGTTTATGCGTCTTTTCCATTTTTCAAGCACGTTACTAAAAAATTTACCCTTCCAAACGCGTTTGTGTCTCTAAACATTGTTTAGTAGGAGAGGAATAGATAGGACGAAGGAAGATGTTTATTTTGAGGATGTTTGGGAGTGATTTTTCACCCAAAAAAATTGATTTTTTAACCGTTATTTCACTATTACAGTCGTAAAGTTTGATTTGTTTTCCCACAGGTAGACTCTACTTTTCTCCTAACGGTCAAAAAATCAATTCTTAAAATCGCTCCCAAACGGAGCCTTTATATTCGCACCATTTTGTCACCATTAATGTTCGGTTTCTGTTTTTTTAATGTAGATTAAAACAGCTGATGATTTTATTTTGAAGCTAGATTATGGAAGCTTCTGCTTTGAGCTCAATATTCCTAAAGTCGCTGAAAAGGCTGGGGACATGTCTTCTATTGGACTTGACGAGATAGAAATGCAGGGACTGAATGTTCGGCTAATAGCATCATCCTCCATTTTAGACATTGTAATGTTAAAATTAGTAGAGAAATGGAATTTGCTATGAAGAGCTGGTGAATGAAGTCCTTCCAGGTTTGAGTCAGTTTCTTCATATGGTATAAACAGTTCTGGGTGAGACAACCAGTCAGAAAGGGGTTAGCACACAATGAATATAGTGTGAAGATGTTAACAGCATCCGTATTCTACTGGCAAAGGAAATTATGATGCTAATAATCTGTCCAATTTCAACGGGACCTGATCAGCTACCCTCAGGGCAAGGACTACAGGATTGTTCTGATGTCCCAAGACATTCGTCATGTAGAAGATGCATTTGGACACATATATGAAGATTTGGCAAGGGATTTGATAATGCCAACCGTGGATTATGGGGCACGCTCCAACGATGATGTTAATATATGAAAGCAAGTATGCAACGATGAGCCAACAAAGCACGATGATGATGACACGTGATACTTTATTATGGTTTGAGTTTTATAAACTAGTTAAATTTTCTTTAATGTACTTTCTTTGGTTAGATTTTAAGTCATATGTTATCCTCTTAAAGTTTGTGCTTTCTTTTTAGTCTTATAATGTGTAAATACTATGCCTGGGTGGTGTTTTGATTAACAAGAAAAGTCTCAAGTTACCGAAGTTTCTGATGGCATTCATGATTATTATGCAGTATAATTATACAAGTTCTACATGGCCTTGTTTAGGACAAATATTATAATAAATTGAACTATTAATCCTTCTAGTGCGCGCCAAGGCTTTTTTATTGTTTTCATTTGAAACACTAAACATACAATTTGCATCAATCTAAATCACCACAAACGTCATGAGTACAATCAACTAGGTAAGATTAACTAGGGCATTAGTAGCTACAGAAGCAAACTTGTGAGCTACGTTGTTTCCTAATAAGGTATAAAGCAACACAAATCGCATTTACATCTCTTAAAAATGCTACAATATCAAATAGAATGGAAACACGCTTAATAAGACTAAAATCAGATTGTAAACTTTCAACTACCCAGAGTGCATCACATTCCTTGACGGAGATCTTGAAACAATGATCTTAAGCAAAAATTAACCCTTTTCGCGCCACTAACACATTTTCAGAGCAAAACTACCCTCAATTGATCATGTACATTACAAAGTATAAGATTTAATAGTTTCTTTTCTTTTATGAATACGTTTTAGTCATATAAAACTCTAAAAGGTCCATCATCTAAAGAAACCACCATTAATATTTGAACTTAATGGTACCGTACAGTAGTTACTGTAGCCAAACATATTGAGGTCAAGCTTCAATGGCTAAATTTGGATACTTTTGTTCCTATACAGATATTTTCATAGTAAACATGTCAATATGGAGACTAGGCTTTGTGAATCGAGCTTGTCAAAATAAGAATATGTTATACGAACAACATTTGTTCCACAGTTAAAATGAAATATAAAAGAAGAAAGGATTTCAAAAGAATACATGAAATTTCACAAAACATGAAAATTTTGCTTCTAGTTGTCAATGGGAAGTGAAAAATCATTTAAATACATCTAGGGCGTGTTTGGTATGCATTTCTGGATTACGATTTACAAAACTTTAACTTCTGGTACAATACTATCGAGTAGGATAGACTCCAATTTACCAAACAAGCCACTACGTTCGAGAGGTACCCACTCTAGTTCTAAATCCAATTCTCCAGATTCTACATTTTGGAGTTTGAGTAAAACTGCCTGTTTCACCTTCCCATCAACAATGTTAACAGTATTATCATCTATTAGTGCATTGTCGTGTGATTTCATCCATTTTCCAATCTGCATGTTTCCAAACATTCCTGCATCTCCAAATGCCATTGCTGAGGTTATCATTGGCTGAATATCTATTTCAGCTTCTCCCATTATATCGTCCGCCGAAAATGTGTCGCAATCAAAAACTTCTGTAGTTTAGACAAGATGTAAAATACCAACACAAGGAACCAACGAAGGAAAAAAATCTTGAGGGAAACAAGATGCGAAGAAAAGAAGTAGACGGATGACCAGTTTTATTGCATCAAAGTCTTGTGGAACCGAAAGCACAAGTTCCTCATTCCAGACAGGATTCAAACTGCGCTGTCTGTGCTTTCTAATAACAGAAAGAACCAGCATGACAGCTTTATAGAAGTTGGTAATATATACCGCACTTTGAACTGACATATTGAACCACCCAGTTTTCAACAACAAAGGAAAAGCAAGCACTGTTATGCAAGATTTATGATTTGAGCTTAATGAGATATATATATGTTTATTGTCCAGATATTCTTTCTAAGAAAGTCTAAGAAAGTTTGCACAAGAAATCTATAATAATTGTACTCTGATATACCCAAAAAGCTAATTGTAGGACAAAGGGTTGGTCCACAGTATTGAACTATACTGGCACCGATTTTAACTTCTTATCCTTCATTAATAGTCATTAGTGTTCAATCTACCTTACCAATCATACCGTAAATTTTTTAGCTTCTCAGCACTCCATATTTAATACAATGTGAAAAGAAATGAAATAAGAACATGCTTAGCAGATCTCACTAGCCAAAAAATCAGAAGTCTGAAGTTATAGTACGTAGGTTTAGATTATCACCTTTTCGATATCCCAGTTTCGGTCCCTAAAACCAAGGAAAACAGGGAAGCAGTTCAGTAACCTGCTTCCCAAGAGTTAAGACAACATAAGGATCACTTGACAGCATGTCTCGGACAGCTAAATTTGTGCCTTTGATTATTATGATCTTCAACATCCCAATAAATTCCACCATGCCTTCCTGAAGTTGATTTGTAACCTTAAGCGTTGTTTGACAAGGCTTTTAATAGCAGAATGTGGTAAAGATGATGAAACGTGTGGTTAAGAAGTTGATAAAAATTGTGAGTCCCCTGAAATGTGTGATTAAAAGTGAAGTTTGACCAGTCGAAAATCAAGCACTTAAATACAGAAATAGTAATTCACAGAAGCATCAAGAAGCCAGTGAAATCTGTAACATCTTAATAAATCTTATCTATCTTAATTAACTTTTGACATTTCCTTTCAGGACACATATTTTTTGCCAGTCTAATTATTGTGATGTAAATTTAAGAAAGACAAAAAAAATGGGCACCACCGGATTGTGGAGAATGGAGATAAGCAGCTGCGTAAACGCAGAAAATTTTGTCATTGGAAGACTGTCAGCAATAAGATATATTTTCCGATAAGGTGGTGACTTGAAACAAGGTGAACCGAAACATAATATCTCTGGTAAAGAAGTAATGTGCGAAAGGGGCACAAACAGGGGAAGAGGACTTACTGATTGCTGCGATGACGAACTTGAACTTCGAAAATTATTCATAATCTTCTGGGACAACCTTGCTTGCAAAGAGCCTTTTTTAGAAGCTGATGTAATACGTAGGCTAGGTTTCAAGAATTCTTGAAGCTCATACTTGGACCTATATGACAAAAATGGAACATCATAAAGATGAAACCTAACACCCCACAAAACTTGCTAAACCACTCAGAAACCCAGTTCTGTCTCATGATGAGGACATTTCATAAGATAGCTGAACTTATGATTTGATAGAACAGAATCTTCTACATGATAGTCATTAAAGAAAGAAAAAAATGCCTGGTCCGAGTGACACAACAAATATCAACTACTTGGCGAGATATGGCAGATGGATTAACAAAAAGTATCAAAAAAGTAATGAAGAAATTACGACCAGGTCTTCACCAGAGAGAAAGAGAACCAGCACACGAAGAAATCATAAAACTGATAGTGCTTCTATGTTTGACCAGACCTGATAAATTTTGAACGCTCTTCATGGCTAGCATCTGGTCAAGGTTTAGCGACTCCTTCAGGAAGGTAAGCCTCATAAATTGAATTAGAATAAAAATTTCCTCCAATCTCAATCAGTGCATCAATTTCATCATCAGACCATTCATCTAATGTCACAGATAAAACCTGTATCATACAAAATATATGGTGGAAATGTAAGGAATAAAAGATTATAAAAAGTACGAGTGTGAGAGATAGAAGAGTTGGAAAAAATGAGTAAATGACTCACTTTTGGCACAATTTTCGGTGGGACCCGTTGGTCCAATTTAGAAAATCAAAGTTGATCCGTGTTCTCTTCCGTGAGAGCATCAAAACCATATATTTACTTGCCAAAAATGAAGCTCAGGTGAATGAAAAATTGGATCTTAAAGTTGACCATTGGAAGATGATTTACGTGGGAAAATAGGATTTGTCGCACATAGGAAAAAGAAGAAAGCATGAACCATTTTATATATAGCTACACCTTGGTAGGGTTTTATCATGTGTAACATAGATACTCTCTCCACGAGCGCGCACAGGGAGGTGCAAATCAATAACTAAAATGACCTTCGGACCTTGACATTGTGTGCGGGCGTGACTAGCATACAAGAATGTCCGACTGAACAGAGCAAAAATTGGCCTTGCTTTCTCCAACTAACTTGAGTTTCTGAAACTGCTAAAACTCCAGCAAAAATTGAAGTGACTCCAATGTTTATTGCCATAGAGTTAATGGCAGATTTATCTTATATTAAGTCTCATTTTCCAGCAATTCTTACACACCACAAAATACACGAATATTCACTGTTCTGTCTGCATAGACACAACGTCGTGGTAGTGATTTTGTTCGAATACTAACTCAGTTCGTCGAAATAGTTTCTGCAGTACTCAAATTCTATTGGTTTACTGTTGTATCCTAAAAAACAGACGCTCAGATTAAATTTTAAGCACTTACGGTGAGGAGACGAATCTGTTTTAAAGAAACTGTCCTCGCAGAGGCCTCGGGTTGAAAATTCATCCGTTATTTAATATTTCTGCAATTTATTCGTGTGCTTCATATAATTTGCAGTTTTATTATGTTGTCGTTCTATTTATATTTATTAAAAAACTAATATGCATTATTTGGCCAACTAGATTAATTTGATCAAATTAATTTGTTTATTCTATTGCAATTTAAATCTGCTATATTTTATCTTGTTCACCGTAAATACGGTATATGCAAATACGGTAATCTGTTGCATATACGGTAAACTGTTGCATATACGATATGCTGATGGAAATATGGTATGCTGCATTTACGGTAAACTGTAATTACGTAATCTGCATATATGGTAATTTGTATATACGGTATGCGTGTATACAGTATGTTGCATATACGGTATGCATAAATCCAACATGTAAATTACATATAGGTTATGAATAATCCGGTTTCATCCACTACACTAAATTTCCAACAAGAAGATGGTGGAGGAAAAAAGAGCTGAGGATGTCACCTTTGAAATATATGTACCGAGGCTTATGTGCATGCCGCAGCACTTTAAGTAAATAAATACTCCAATGTTTGCAGACCTGAACATGCCACGTAAAACATTAACAAGTAAAAATAATGAAAAAAAAAAAAAGACACAAAACACAGCATTTACACGAGTTCTTTTTGAATAATGACAAATGCATACGGGTGAGCAAGAATTCTAAACCCTTTAAGGTAAGCAGGCAACAAGTACTGGCGTAAAAAAGATCAGAAGGAAGCCAGAGTGAAACTTACGCCCATTTTGGATAATCTGCACAAACACAATTATCATGTTGGACCAAAAGATCTTTCAATCTTCTTTTTCCTGTACATACATTATTCATCAAAGAATAAAGAAAAGCCAAGAACTAATTAACAACCTACAATTCCCAAAAAAGGATAATGAACACGTAAACCAATTAGCAGCAAAACAAATTTAATGTTTAGCAATCACCATAAACGTGTGAAAGTATATTTTGAAGTGAAAATAATCCATGCTACCATAGTGTCACGTGAAGCACACTCATCGGGATGCAAAGAGCTTGGCAAACAAAGTCTATTGCATGAAGAAAAGGACTAGTCCATTATTATGTCATTATGCAGTGACGAAATTGATGAAGTCAACACACTATATTCTTCAGTATGTTCTTAAGAGAATCCCACAGGGTGCACAATACACATGCATTGTTCTTTAAAATAGGTTAATTAATTCAACTCAAACTTTATGCAAAAGGTAGTGAATTATAGCAGATGTTTTCTTACATTTTGAACTTGAAATGCATGAATTGATATTTCTCAATATTCAGTACCAAAGTTCCCGATAAAATAAAACCATACCTGAAGTTGGTCTCCCTAGCTGGCTCATTCTCTCTGCTAATAGACCACTACAATTCAACTAAACTAGTCTTTATTAATAATAACCTGCAAATAGTGACCCATCAAGAAGGTTAAGAACATAAATTTTCTCACTCCGTATATGAATTTGCTTATATACAATTTACGAGAATATCTAAATACAAGCAAGCAAAATACTGCAGAGTATTTTTTCCAGTCAAGCTGGCAAAAATTCATTCCATGAACACTTTGAATCAAAATTCTAGAACATTAATCAAATAAAATGAATCCTGACAAGCAGATATATCTGATTTTACAGAAACGAAACGGAACTCTAGTTTCACAATGCAATGCAATGCAAGAATACCTAAGATCATGTAATAGAATCATAAACCAAGGGCTAGATCATTGATACAAATAATATCACAAAATCTAAGCATCCGAATCTTCCACAGGAGCCCATAAGTCAAATTTTATTATATGTTAAAGACATAATCTTGAAATACGATCAGAATAGTAACACGACGATTGAGTTAATCAAGCCAAAAACTTCTGATCATTGATTTTAATGCTAATCAAACCTTTTTTCATTATATACATATACTAGTCTTTGACAAGTGCGTTGCACGAGTTTTGTATTTATTTTATTTTTATTAGCGTTAAAATTATAGATTTTTTACTTATAAGTAACTTCTTACATTTTACAAATATTTTTTGTCAGTATTTTTATTTGTTAATAATTTCTTACATAAAAGTGATTGTTAGAAATAAAATAGTGATAGCAAAAAATATCAACAAATAAAAATATTACTAATAAACAAATTCAAAGAAAAAAATTACTCTTCATGCTTGAAAGTCTCAATCCTCCGTAATACGGAGGTTTGATCTCTCAATAACAAGAGACTTGATCTCTCATAACAAGCCTCCGCATTACGAAGCAAGCCTCCGTATTACGGAGGAAAATCCTCCGTGATACGGAAGCTTGATCTCTCATAACAAGGCTCCGTATTACGGAAGAAAATCCTCCGTGATACGGAAGCTTGATCTCATGGAGAGATCAAGTCTCCATAATAAATATGCAGAGATTCTTTTGATATTTTTTTATTTAAACGATATTTTATTTATAGATCATCTATTTAACAAATAAGTTAATATTTAATTTTAAAAATTAAATATATCTAAATATTTACTACAAATTTTTAAGTTAATATATTGTTAAGTTACAAGTAATTTTTACAATTATAAGTTTTTTTTTATACATTTAAATAACTTTAAGCGTATTTTTTTTACATATATTTATGGAATTCACACTTTTACTCTTGAATTAACCCAATTAATTAAT